AGAAGATGGCTTCTAAAGAAGATTGACAAGTATGGCTTTTTTTTTTTTTTTTTTTTTTGAGACAGGGTCTCATTTTGTCACCCAGGCTGGAGTACAGTAGTGCAATTACAGCTTACTGTGGCCTCAACCTCCCAGGCTCAAATGACTTTCTCACCTTAGCCTCTCAAGCAGCTGGGACTATAGGTATATGCCACCATGCCTGGCTAATTTTTAAAAATTTTTTGTAGAGATAGGATCTCACAATGTTGCCCAGGCTGAGCTCAAACTCCTGGGCTCAATTGATCCTCCCACCTTGGCTTTCCAAAGTGTTGGGATTACAAATGGCATGCATCACCACACCTGGCCTTCTTTTATTCAAACGGAATTTGAATAGTTTGTCCCTTTAGGGTGATTTTTATTATGACTCTGCAGCCAAACACAGAAATAAACCTATTTTAAGAAAGTGAACCAGGCCAGGTGCTATGGTTCACACCTGCATCCCAGTAGTTTGGGAGGCTGAAGTGGGAGGACTGCTTGAGCCCTAGAGTTTGAGACCAGCCTAGGCAGCATAGGAAGACCCCATCTCTATAAAAAAATTTTTTTAAAATAAATTAACCAGGTGTGGTGGCATGTGCCTGGGTCCCAGCTACTAGGGAGGCTGAGGTGAGAGGATCACTTGAGCCTGGAAGGTGGAAGCTGCCGTGACCTATGATCAGGCCACTGCACTCCATCCTGGGTGACAGAGCAAAAGACCATGTCTAAAAAAAAGAAAATTAAGCCAGGCATAGTGGCCTGTGCCTAGGATTATAAGGCAGGAGGATCCAGTGAGGCCAGGAGTTTGAGGCAACAGAGTGTTATGATCACACCTGTGAATAGCCACTGCACTCTAGCTGGACAACACAGACCCTGTCTGTTCACCAAAAAAAAAAAAAAAAAAGGAAGAAAGAAAGTAGTGATGCCTGTTTCCAGTATTTTTATTATTCACAGAACAAAATTATATTCATTCTTATCCGTATACAAACATTATATGATCCAGGAATTCTGTGCAAGTGTACAAGTGATGCTATGACTTACCATATTAAGCATCTTATTAGCACCTGCTCTGTGTTGAGCATCATGACAGCTGCTGGGTGAAAGGGGAATAAAACCCAGGCCCTGTCCACAAGAATTTACAGTCTGCTAAAGTGATGGACATGACCTTTCCAGGCGTGGTAAGTTCTCCCCGGAGTGGTAAAGGGTTTGTCCAGTCATCTGCTTTCTCTTACCCAGATGGCGGGTAAGAAAGGCAGCTGAGGCCAAAGAACACTTTTCCAGGAGAAGATCTGTCCTACAAATAGCACAGCACCGAGCATAAAATCAGTGTCAAAAAGAGAAGCAGCCAAGTGGGATGTCTGCAGTGATTATTTTAAATAGAAATGAAAGCTCTTATATTCATGCCACTTAAACATTGTTCAATTCATTCTGTGATGCCTTTGAATATTGCAGTAACAACCATAGAAGATTAATCAAACAAATTACAGAAGGAGCAGCCAGGTACCAGAGTGCTCTTATAAAACAAGAAACTCCCAATCTAACCCATCCACAAAATGCTTATTAGTCTTTTTCTAAAAATAATTTGAATTTACATTTTTTTAAAAAGATGTTTCTTCTAAAGATGTATAAAAACCTGCAATTTTATTTATGAGGTATTTGTAAGCCTTGCTTGCTTTGCAGTATTATGACATCATAATATAACAAAATAACCTATACAAAATAACCTATTGGAGCTCACAGAAAAAGACTTCATATCTCTGCAAGACAAGTATAATTATAAAAGCTTCTAGGCACACAGATAAAATTTTAACACTAGATGGGGTCTCACTATGTTGCCCAGTCAGGTCTCAAACTCCTGGCCTCAAGTAATCCTCCCACCTCAGCCTCCCAAAGTGCTGGAATTACAGGCATGAACCACTAAACCTTATTATAAGAGTTTTTTTACACTTAAAAAATCCATACAGACGCAAAGTCAATTAAATTTTATTTCAACCAAGAATATAAAATAAATGCAATGTAATTTATTTTAGTTTTAACAGTCATTTCAAGAAGGAAGTCAGGACAACTCAAAAGCAGGAAACCCTCGCTCCAAAGCAGCAGCTCCTCCTGCACCCCACGGAGCAGGCCTTGCTGGGGACGCAGCAGCTCTGAGCACAAACCTCGCAGTGGAGCACGAAAAGCTACAGTCATCTCTATAATCATACAAAGGGGGATGCGTGCAGAAAATGACTGAAAAAAGAGACAAGAACAGGTACACTTCACAAATAGGAATTATAGGAATATACAAACTAGGCAGTTTAGAAAGGATATACTACATGACATATATAAAAAGTACTTTAAATTGTTGTTAAAAAGGACACCTTCAGTCCAGATTTTGTGTAATACTTTTAGTGTCTACACAGACAAATCTTTAAAAAAATTAAATAGTATTAATTTACTAAATATTTAGGAGATAACAGTGCATTAAGGGTTTTTTTCATATAATACATACATATCACCCCTTTGCAGTGATAGCATAGAAGAGTAAGTATGGCCTTAGGTACAACACATTTTTTAAAAATCCTAAAACAATGAACTTTCTTATATTTGTGACTATTCTTAAGGATTATGGGGACCTAAACTGCTAGGTTTTATATAAAATATTACTTGTACTTGAATCCGTCAAGCCTCTGTTAGTCTAACTGCCATTTCACTGCCTTCCTCTACTCCCTAGGAAGACATCACCATAGTGTTTTGGATTTGTAATTTCCATAGAATTCCTCCTTCATTGTATAGTTTCTGCTGCATAAATTTACTCAAAAGCAGATCAAGCTGCATGTCTTCTTCTCCAACTATTTTTTTTTTCTTTTACCTTTAGCAGAGAAAACAGCATCATTTCAGAGGTATAGAAAACAAGTAGCAGTTGCTTCACCAGGAATGAGGCAGCACACATAGGTAAATGTCATCCCTTTCCATTCCTAAGAGTACATTATGTTTGTAAGAGCAAAAGAGTAGTGCAGAAGGCTAAAAATTCTAAGTACTAAAGTTTCAAAACCACACAGATATAAAAATATACATAATCCTTGGTCTTTGTATGTCACTGCATGATCTACTTCATCACAAGGATTGTTTCAGCCTCACTGTATCAGCCCGGCTGCCAAAGCTACCTTATCTTGAGCTCATCTGTCCTGGAACACTTGAATTCCTTTTCACAAACACACACCTCACCAGAAAGCTAACTCTGAAACTGGTTTGTAATAATATGGAGAGCAGAAAGCCTTCACTTGGATTCATTCCTTCCTGTCAATAACCCTTCCTGTTTTGGGTGTTCCCATAGGCTGAGGGATGACCCTCCTGGTACCCTTGGGGGACATAATAGTATCTAATAAATTTCAAAGAGAAATGCAGTCATTTGGGACCACAATGGTAAACTTTGCCCTCAAAAAGCTTCACAGGTCTCCTTAGAGGTCTGGTTGGAGGGCTCTTACATGTGTTAAAAAGGCTTTGTTCCTGGCTGGGCACAATGGCCTGTAATCCCAGCACCTTAGGAGACTGGGGGTGTGGGGGGAGGATCATGAGGTCAGGAGTTCAAGACCAGCCTGACCAATATGGTAAAACCTCGGCCTCCACTAAAAATAGAAAAGTTGGCTGGGCATGGTGGCGCATGCCAGCAGTCCCAGCTACTCAGGAGGCTGAGGCAGGAGAATCGCTTGAACCCAGAAGGCAGAGGTTGCAGTAAGCTGAGATCACGCCACTGCACTCCAGCCTGGGCAACAGAATGAGACTCCAT